GGGGGGGGGTTTGCCGCCGCCGCCGCCGCCGCGGGGGGGGGGGGCGTTGGAGTTTGCGGGCGTTCGCATGGGGCGCGGGGGGGGGAGTAAAAAAAATACCTGGGGGTAAACAACGGGGTTTTTTCAGAAGAGCGGGTTCCGTTTGGGGCGGTAAGGCATTGGGCCGCCGGGGGAGCAGGGGGTCCGCGCGGGGAACCCCGAGGGGGGGGTTCCCGGGGGGGAAGGCTCCCGGGACGCCAGGGTTGTCCAGGTCCGGGTAATGTCGCAAGGTACCCCCACACACACACCCCGGGGAGGGAGGTGGGGCCGCCGTCCCTGGACCCGGGGGCGGAAACCCGCCACCCATCCATGGGGGGCCTTAATCAAGGGCCACCACCGGGAAAAGGCCCTTGGTGGAAAGGTGGAAATTTGGGGTCCACTCCCCTTTTTTTCCTCCCCCGGGGTCCACCCCCCTTTTTCCCTTTTTTTCGGCTTCCCCCCCCCCCCCCCCCCCCCGCAGAGGAAGCGCGCGTGCGCGCCATCACGGACGTCGTCCAGCAGATGATCGCGTCCGTGAAGTCCGGCAAGGTGATGAACCTCAACGCCGTCAAGAACGCGGCCGCGCGGAAATACGGCCTGCGCCGATCGCCCAAGCTCGTCGAGCTCATCAGCGCGGTCCCGGACGAGCACCGCGACGCGCTCCTCCCGGCGCTGCGCGCGAAGCCGGTGCGGACCGCGAGCGGGATCGCGGTCGTCGCGGTGATGTCCAAGCCGCATCGGTGCCCGCACATCGCGACCACGGGGAACATATGCGTCTACTGCCCGGGAGGGCCGGATTCCGATTTCGAGTACTCCACGCAGTCGTACACAGGGTACGAGCCGACGTCCATGCGCGCGATTCGCGCGCGGTACGACCCGTACGTCCAAGCGCGCGGGCGCGTGGATCAGCTGCGGAAGCTCGGGCACAGCGTGGACAAGGTGGAGTACATCCTCATGGGCGGGACGTTCATGAGCTTGCCCGCGGAGGTGCGTTCTATACAAACGTTTTTCACCCATCGCTCGGTTTCAACACTTGATCGCGTGGGTCCCTTTCAACTGACCGATGAATCTTTTTTGTATGGAACGACCCTCATCACAGTACCGGGACTGGTTCGTGAGGAACCTGCACGACGCGCTGTCCGGCGCGAGCAGCGCGTCCGTCGCGGACGCGGTCGCCGCGTCCGAGCAGTCGAGAATGAAGTGCGTCGGGCTGACGATCGAGACGCGGCCGGACTACTGCCTGTCGCCGCATCTGCGTCAGGTGGGTTCTATACAAAAGTTTTTCACCCATCGCCCGGTTTCAACATTTGATCGCGTCTCCTTTCAACTGACCGATGAACATTTTTTGTATGGAATGGCCCTCAGATGCTTCTGTACGGGTGCACGCGCCTGGAGATCGGGCTGCAGTCGATTTACGAGGACGTCGCGCGGGATACGAACCGAGGGCACACGGTCGAGGCGGTGCAGAAGTGTTTCGAGCTCGCGAAGGACGCCGGGTTCAAAGTCGTCGTGCACATGATGCCGGATCTGCCCAACGTTGGGATGGAACGCGACCTGGAGTCGTTTCGCGAGTTTTTCGAGAGCCCAGACTTTCGCACAGACGGCTTGAAGCTCTACCCGACGCTCGTCATCCGCGGCACCGGTCTGTACGAACTCTGGCGCACGGGGCGATACCGCAACTACGCGCCCGATCGCCTCGTGGACCTCGTCGCGCGCGCGCTCGCGCTCGTCCCGCCGTGGGTCCGCGTGTACAGAGTCCAACGCGATATCCCGATGCCACTCGTCACCGCGGGCGTCGAGAAGGGCAACCTCCGAGAGCTCGCGCTCGCGCGCATGGGCGACCTCGGGCTCCGGTGCCGCGACGTGCGGACGCGCGAGGTTGGGATCCAGGACATCCACAGCAAGGTGAAGCCCGAGGAGGTTGAGTTGGTGCGTCGAGACTACGCGGCGAACGGCGGGTGGGAGACGTTTTTGTCGTACGAAGACCCGCGGCAGGACATCCTCGTCGGGCTGCTTCGGCTTCGGCGGTGCGGCGCGACCGCGGCCGCGACGTCGCCGGAGCTGAGAGGTCAGAAGTGTTCCATGGTGCGAGAGTTGCACGTGTACGGCAGCGCGGTGGCGGTGCACTCGCGCGAGCGAGGGAAGTTTCAGCACCAGGTGCGTCGTTTTTGTTTTCGCTCTGCGATGTTTTTTGTTTTTCAGCCACTCCTCGGGTTCAACGTTTGATCGCGGACCCTTTCAACTGACCGATGAATGCGCCTTAAAACAGGGGTACGGCACGTTGCTCATGCGCGAGGCGGAGCGCATCGCGCGGCGGGAGCACCGGAGCGCGAAGCTCGCGGTCATCTCCGGCGTGGGGACGCGGCATTACTACCGGAAGCTCGGGTACGAGCTCGAGGGACCGTACATGGTGAAGACGTTGCGATGATCGATGCACGGTAGCGCGCTAGCTAGTTGACTTAGGAGAACGGCGATAAATAAAAAAAGTCGCAAACGCACGAAACGGCCCGTCCGAGAACGCGCTCGGTCAACTCTCGCATTTCCCGATGCGCCGCGCGTCGTCGTCGTCGTCGCGCCGTCCCCCCGGCGGCGGGCGGGGACGACGAGGAGGCGACGTGGACATGGTCGCGGCGGCCGTGGCGCTGCAGGATCACCTCGCGCGGTCGCTCAAGATGGGCGCGCCGCGCGTGCGGCCGACCGCGCCGCGGCGTCGCGACGACGTTCTACTAGACGTCTCGTCGTCGTCGGGACGTCTTCCCCCCCGCGCCCGTCGCGAGAACGCGGACCCGAACGCGTCGCGCGCCGCCGCCGCCGCCGTCGGGCGCGACGACGGATGGCGCGCGACGCGAGACGCCGCCGCCGCGAAGCCGTGGACGAACGACGAGGACGACGCGAGCGCGACGCAGGCGATGCCTCGTCGGCGCCGTCGCCCGACCCTCGCGGAGCGCGCGGGATTCGTCCCCGCGCCGCCTCCGCCGCTGACGGAGGCGGAGTGGGCTCGCGCGCACGCGACGTCGAAGAAACGCGCGGAGTATCCGCAGTGCGAGGCGTCGTGCGCGATATGCCTCTCCGCGTTCGGCGGCGCGAGTCAGGTGTTGCTGCCGTGCGCGCACATCTTCCACGAGCGGTGTTTCGAATCTTTCGAGCGGTTCGCCGGCGATTCGTCGGCGTCGTACCATCGGTGTTGTCCCATCTGCCGCGCGAGCGCGCACGAAAAGCGGCGCATTCGCGACGGCGCGGCGTCCTGGCGTCGCCGCGCGGCGATCAAGATCCAGACCGCGTGGCGGCGGCGCCGGTGCGTGCGATGGTACGCGAGGGTGCGCGCGTCGATCCCTCCGAGCGATCCGATCGCGAAGAGGGCGTGGTTCGCGGACAAAGTGCGCGACGTCGTGCGGGAGGACGTCCGCGCGATGCGAGACGTCAGGAGAGACGCGGAGAAGCTGTTCGAGGCGATCGCGGCGAGGAAGGGCGAGGCGTACGTCGCGCCGTCGTACCTTCTCGACGGCAGCGACAGCGACGAAGTTGCAGGAGACGACGACGACGGGGACGGGGACGACGCGCAGCTGTACTCCGACGTGCAGCTGTCGCTCGCGTTTGAACACGCCGCGCGCGAGGAAGCCGCGGAGGACGCGGCGGCGGGCGACGACGGCGTGGATTGGGCCGCGGTGGAGAGAACGACGAGCGATCGTGCGCAGGCGGACTGCCCGATATGCTTCGCGGCGCTGCGACGGAGTCGAGAAGAAGACGACGCCGGCGACGGCGGCGACGCGCGGCATCGCGTCGACGCCGCGCCGCTCGCGCTTCTCGACTGCTCGCACTGTTTCCACATGAAGTGTCTCCGAGCGTTCGAGGCGTACAACAGCGCGGTCGGGCGCGCGCGGACGTGCCCGATTTGCCGCGGCGAGTACAAGCGTCGCGCGGTCGCGTAGAAGAAGTGGTAGCGCGTTAACATAGTCTACGTATATGACGAGTAGTCCTTCGTCGATCCGCGGTCGTAGACCGGTGTCGTCGCGGCGTTCGTAACCTTAGGGCCGTTCTATACAAGCGAATGTCGAGGTGGAGTTGAAAGGCGTCAGTTGGAGTTGAAAAGCGTCGAAGGCGGGGATTGAAAGCGAGGGATGGGCGGAGAGATGCGCCGGCGAAAGTCCTTAAGGATCGGCGTCCACCTCGCGAACGCGGTCGTATGGGGACCAGTGTATGGGACGCGCCTTATTTTCGTTCGTTCGCGTCGTATCGCGCCCCCCTCACCATTCACCCGACGCGACGTCGTCGTCGTCGTCGTCGTTCTTCGCGTCGTCGTCGTCGTCGTCGTCGTCGTCGTCGTCGAATCCGTGCCACAGCGCCTCGTCGTCGTCGCTGCCGTCGTACGCCGCCGACTTCCTGTGCGCCGCCGTCGGATACGTCTCGTCGAACTCCTCCATCGTGAATTCCTCCTCGTCCGGCGCGTGCGCGGCCAGGAGGTACTCGAACGTCTCCCTCTCGCCGTGCTCGAACGCGCTCACGACGCAGTCGTCGTCGATCTCGCACCCGTTCTCGATCGCCCATCGAAGGACGCGGAGATGCCCGCGCCTGGACGCCTCGAACGTCACGAACGGATCCCACGCGCACCCGACGGATCGGAGGTACTCCAGGCACTCCAAGCTCCCCGCCTTCGCCGCGGCTTCGCAGGAGGACAGCGCGGGGTCGTCGAACCACGTATCGTGCGCGTCGTACGTCGTGAGCCATCGAAGGACGTCGAGGTGGCCGCCGCGCGCGGCGGCGGCGGCGACGCCGTGCTGCCACTCCATCGGCGTGCCGCCGGGGGGGGCGACGTCGGGGGCGCCCTGAGAGACGAGCCCGGAGTCTTGCTCTCGGACCCACCGCAGGACTTGGAGTTGCCCGCCGCGCGCGGCCGTGCGCGCGACGCTCGTGAAGTCGAATCCTTCGCTCTCGTGCGTCGTGGAGAAGCGCCCGAGCGCGTGGAACACGATGGGGACGCCGCAGCGGCCGCACGCGCAGTCTTGTCCGCGCTCGGCGACGACGTGAACGGGCGACGCGTGACCGGCGACGTATCGCACCACGTCGAGTCGTCCGCGCCGCGCGGCGCGCTCGCACGTCTCCCAGCGAAGGACGCGGTCGCCCTGCGTCTCGAGCGCCCATCGCAGCGTCGCGACGTCGCCGTTCTCGGCCGCGATGTGGCGCACGCGGTCGACATCGATCGGGCAGCGCAAGCGCGTTCGCGCGTGCTTCAGCACGGGCAGGTTCCCCCGCACGGACGCGCACGCCTCGGCGACGGACTCGGTCCACGGGCACCCGTCCTTCTTCGCCCACGACAGCATCGCGACGGAGCCGACGAAGTCCTTCACGCGGAGGTCGGCGCGCCGCGCCGGCGCGCGAGCTCGCGCGGCCTCGCGCGCGCCCTTGGAGACGCGCGCGAAGAGGAACAGCGACGTCGGGTCGAGCCCGGAGAGGACGAGCTCGAGGACGTCGGAGGGGAGGACGCCGAGCCTCGGCCCGAGCGAGGACGGCGGCTCGGAGGTGTATCGCCCGCTGCGCGTCTTCATGCGCGCGGGAGCGAGACGGCGGCGCGAGAGCGCGGGGCGTGGCGCGCGCGCGCGGAGGAGGAGTGCGCGCGTCCGCGCGTCTCGCTTCCGGAAGAGGGACAAGAGCGAGAAGAGTTTCCTCGACGCGGCCGCCAGCTGTGCTCGAACACTACAGAAACAGAAGGACTATCCTATAGACTAGGCTATCTACTCTCACCGACAACGACTCGTGGATGCTCGCGAGCGTCTCCTGATCGGCGACCTCGCGGTGGCGCGCACCTCGGGAACGTACGCCGCGCTCGTCCCTCGCGCGGACGGCGCTGGTATGGACGACAGCGCGAGCGACGCGACGCCGCGCGTCACGTCGTCGTCGTCGTCGTCGTCGTCGCCGTCGTCGTCGCTCGTCTCTACTCCTTCGTTCGCTCGGATCGCCGCGACGAGTTCGACGAGCGCTGGATTCGCGTCGCGCCACTCTCGATGATCCATCTTCAGCGTGTCCTCGTCGATCCACGCGCACTCGTCCTTGCTGCGAGTGTCGTCCTGCCACCCGTCGTGTTCGACCTCTTCGCCGTCGTGCTCGAACCCGACGACGAGTCTCAAATCGCTCCATCGCGCGACGCGCAGCCTCACCCTCGACACGTCGAACGCGTCGCCTTCGATCTCGAACGCGGTCTCGAACGCGCCCTTCACGAAATGCTGCGCGTACACCACCACGCCGTCGCCTTCGTAGCGCGGCGTCTCTTCTTCGCGCGCGACGAGATCGTCGGAACCCAACTCGAGCTCGCCGAGCGTCTCCTCCTCGTCGCCGACGACTTTCGCGAACTCGATGACGTTCTGGTCCGCGAACTCTGGAGCGTTGAGATGCACGAGGTCGTCGATGTCGTAAAACTCTGGCACGCGCAGACGCTCTGGAATGTTCCACGCGTCGTCTACGTCGCCGCCCCACCCCACGCCCAGAGAGTGCACGCATCGCGTGAACAGCGCCTCGCCCATCTCCAACCAGAAGTGTCCTTGCTCCTGCGTGATCGTTCCCACGACGTGCTCGCCGCCGTAGCGCGACGCGCGCGCGACTATCCGCGTCATGACGCGGATACAGTACGTCGTCTACCGCATCTCGCTCAGCCCGCGCCGCGCCGCTTCTTCACGGGGAAACCCGGCGGTGCGTGGCGATGTGTCGTCGTCGGACGACCTCGGACGGTTCGAAGAGGACGAAACTTTAGCGAAGGTTCAACTCCGGTCCGTCACTCACACGCGCACGCGCACGCGCCGGACGATGCCTTCGACCGCGCCGCCCACCGCGCGTCGCCGCTAGAAGGACCAACCCTCCTCCCGCCTCGCCTCCGCCCGGCGGCGGGCATGTCGTCCTCGCACCACGACGCGCGCCCGCCGCACTCGCGCCTCTTCGTCGTCTGCGGCCGCGGCGTGCGCGAGGACGAGCTCGAGAGTTTCTTCGCCGCGCACGGCGAGATCCAGTCCGCGCGCGTCGTCGAGGCCAAGGGCGTCGCGTACGTCAAGTTCGCGCTCGCGTCGTGCGCCGCGCGCGCGGTCGAGACCCTGCGCGACGCCGGCGACGGCGACGGCGACGGCGGCGACGGCGGCGGCGAGGTGGGCGCGTCGTGCCGAGCGTTCCTCGGCGGATGCGAGCGATCGCTCCGCGTCCTCGTCGCGGACGACGGCGGAGGGAACGACCGCGCGACGGCGGCGGCGGCGGCGGCGACGAACAGCGGCGGCGGCGACGGCGCGTCCGTCTCCGAGCGCGAGCGCGGCGGCGGCGGCGACCTCGCGCTCGACCCGGACGACGACCCGCCGCGGTCGCGCCTGTTCGTCGTGTGCCCGAAGGGCACGACGCACGACGTCGTCTCCGGCGCTTTCGCGGAACTTTTACGCGGATTCGCGGATCCGTCGGAGGACGCGGATACCGTCTTGACCAGCGTGCGCGTCGTCCCGCACAAGGGCGTCGCGTTCGCGAAGTTCGCGCGGTCGTCCACGGCGCTGCGGTGCATGGAGGCGGTCGCCGCGAGCGGGACCCTGGGCGGCGTGCGCGTAAAGTGCATGCTCGCGGAGCGAAAGTCGACGACGGCGGCGGCGATGGCGGCGGCGGCGGCGGCGACGGGAGGCGCGACCCCCGCGGGGTCCAACAGCAGCCAGCACACCCCGGCCGCGTCCGGCGGGTCCGCCCGCGATGCCGCCGCCGCGGGGGGCGCGGGCGCGGGCGCGACGTCCGCCTCCCGGGTTCGACCCGCGAGCAGGTTCACGCGCGCGGGGAGCGAGGACCGCGGCGGCGGGCTCTCGCCGAAGCGTCGCCGCGGCGGCCTCGGCGGGAGGAAGCCGCCGTCGCCCGCGAGCAGCGCGGAGAGCGGCGGGTTGGGCGGAAGCGGGAAGCAGCAGCACTCGTCGTCGCATCCGCGGAGACAAGGGAGCGCCGGCGGGCCGTCGCCGCGGCCGCCGCCGCCGGACGGCGCGCCGCCCGCGCCCGCGCCCGCGGCGCCCGCGGCGGTTCCCGGCGGGGTGTTCTTAGGCGAGGCGTGGATGGGCGCGGGGTCGGGCGCGATGCGCGGGACGATCGTGTTTCACCCGGAGATGGCCTCGGGACCGGGGCTTCACGGCGGAGGCGAGTCGCACTCGCCCGCGAGCTCGGGCGGCGCGGCGCCGTCGCCGCAGCCGCGCCCGCCGCCACCGCCGGCGGCGTTTCCCGCGGGCGTCGTCGGCTATCCCTTCCACGGCGGGTTCCCGCCGGCGCCGGCGTACGCGTACGGGTACCAACCGATGCCGTGGCCGGGGATGGGGATGGGGATGGGGATGCCGCCGGTTCCGGCGCCGCCGCTGCCGCCCGGGGCGCCGCCGTCGCCGGGCGACAGCGGCGGTCCGTCGCCGCCGCCGCCGCTCCCGAGAGGCGCGCCGCCGCCGTCGCGCCGACTTCACCGACATCCTCAATCGCACGCTCAGCACGCTCAACCGCCTCAGCCTCGACCGTCGCACCGCGTCTTCGTCGTCCTCGACAAGTCCGCGACGCGAGAGACGCTCCTCGAGACGTTCAACGCGAGGGAGTGCGCGGGCGTGGAGACCATCTCGCTGAAGACGGACGCCGCGGGGAAATCCCGGGGGTTCGCCTACGTCACCTTCGGCACCGCGGAGGACGCCGCGGACGCGATCGCGCGCGTGGACGGCGCGGAGATTCCGCCGGGAAGCGGGAAGAGAGCGAAGGTGATGCCCGCGGAGGAGCCCGGGTCGCGGCGAGGCGGCGGCGGCGGCGGCGGCGGCGGGACGATGACGACGACGACGACGACGACGACGACGACGACGAGACCCGCCGCGAAGGATGCGCACGACGAAGACGACGGCGGGGGGTTGCGGCGGCAGCGACCGGACGACGACGACGCGCAGAGCGTGCAGCCGCCGCCGGGGAAGTACTCGCGGCTCATGGACAGCGGCGTGCGAGGCGAGGGAGGCGGCGGCGTGGGCGGCGGCGCGGGCGAGGACGAGGACGACGGCGAGGACATCGAGGACGGACCCGAGGCGGCGTCCGGCGGCGGCGCGCGAAACATGCACCCCGGCGACAGCAGCGGCGACGACGAGGACGACGACGACGACGACGACGCGAAGGCGCCGAGGGGCGAGACCGCCGACGTCGCCGGCGAAGACGAAGACGAAGACGCCGACGCCGACGCCGTCAAAGAAGAGATCGACGAGACGACGACGGCGACGACGACGACGGTGGATCTGGAAGCCCCCGGCGACGTCGCGCTCGCGATGCGCGCGGTATCCCTCGCGCCGCCCGCGCCGCCCGCGCCGCCCGCGCATCCCGCGCATCCCCGACCCGGATCGCTCTTCTTCTCGCTGTCGCTGCCGCTCCCCGCGCACGCGCTCCGGCACGTCCTCGCCGCGCACGGGTCGCTGACGTCGCTCGAGATGCGCGACGACGACCGCGGCGGCGCGGCGACGTACGAAGATCCGAACGACGCCGCGGCGGCGTGCGAGGCGTTGGACGGAACCGACGTGTTGGGGATCGCGCTCAGGGTGTCGTCCGAGCCGATCGCGGCGGAGGAGGAGGGCGAGAGAGAGGACGACGCGGACGAGGATGGGGCGAAAAATAAGGAGAAGGACGACGCGGGGGCGGGCTCGGACGGAGAGAGGGAGAAAGAGAGGACGAAACCTCCGGCGGCGGCGGCGGCGGCGGCGGCGGCGGCGGCGCAACCGAAGAAACGCGCGCGGCGATAGAGAAACGACCGACGAAAAACAAAACAAAGCGCAACTTCGACTACTCCGGTCGCGCTTCCCCGTCGCGACGACTCTTCTCTTCGACTTTAACCCCTCCGACGAGCGCCCACGCGCGATCGAGCTCACGCTGCAGCGTCTCGGATCGAGCCCTCAACGCCTCGGACCTCTTCTTTTCCACCGTCGCCGCCGCCGCGTGCGTCGTCATCTCCATCTCGAGCGCGCGGACGCGGGCGTTCGCCTCGCGCAGCGCGATGTCGAGAACGTCCACGTTAAGCTCGCGGCGATCCAGGAGGATTTCTTTGCCGTCGCCGCCGTCGCCGTCGCTTATCCGCGTTCGGAGGGTTCTACGGCGCCCTCGCGAACGGGTTCATCACCGTCTCGCACGTGATAGGGCTGCCTCGATTCTTTTGGTTGCTCGCCACGGATTCTCGGAAGACGCCGCCGGAGGTGTACGAGGACGGGAGGGAGCCGCCGGGAGCGACGACGGAGGAGGTGGAGGAAGAAAACGAGAAGGCGAAGGCGAAGGAGGAGGAGACGGAAGAGGAAGAAGAAGCGGACGCGAAAGCGTCCGCCGTCCAAAAAGTGTTGTGAGACGACGTAATGGTTCCCATACGACCGCGTTGGCGTGGTGAACGCCGTTCCTTAAGGACTTTTCCCGTCGATTCTCTCCGCCCAAAGACATAGTCGCGTCGTGTACCTTACGTGCTCGTCCGTCGTCGTCGACCCTACGCGCGTCGTCCCAGCGTCGCCACCCGCGGCAGCGCGCGCGCGCCCGGGCTCCGTTTCCCCCCGCTCCCCGGCCGCGGCGACTCTCTCAGAGCGCGCGCCACCGCCGCCGCCGCCGCCGACGCCGCCCCGCTCCTCTCCGACGCGTCCCTTCGCGCCGCAGCCCTCGCCGCGGGCCCGACCGTCCCGCCGACCGTCCCTGGCATCCCCGTCCCTGGCATCCCGATCCCCGGCGTCGCCGCGCCCAGCCCACTCGCGGCGCTCACCGGCGCGCGCATGAGCTCCTGATACAAGTTATACCCCGTCGCGCACGCCGTGACGAGCAGCGGACCGAGCACCGCGCCCTGCAGCGCCGGGTCGAACACGCACATCCCGCCGACGACGGACAGACCGACGACGTACGGGTGCACGACGCGTATCTCGCTCTGGTAGATGTCGATGTCGACGAATATCAGCGTGATCCAGTGCATCAACACGAGCGCGGCGGCTTTCGCGCCCTCTCCCTTGGCGAGGAGTCCGAGCGCCGCGGGGAGAGAGACGGACCACGACGCGAGCAGCGGGAGGATCGCGGTGAGCCCGGACGCGAGCGTGGACGTGTACACGAAGTGCACGCCGAACGCGCGGAACGTGACCCACGTGAACGCCGCGTGAAACAGCGCGAGCTTGACGCACGACACGAAGACGCCCCTGACGCCTCTCGTCAGCGACTTCACCGCGACCTCCTTGACGTGCGCGTTCACCGGGATCAGCTCCACGAGCCTCACCGCGGGGTCGGCCTCGCTGTTTAGGATGTGGAACAACACGGTGAAAAACACGACGGATTTCAAGACGTAGCTCAGCACGCCGCCGGCGACGCCGAAGACGCTGAAGGACGCCCTCGCGGCCCAGGACGTGACCTGCGCGATGCCGCGGCCGCCGCCGGCGACGATGTCCGCGGCGCGGTCTTGGAGCGCGTTTCTCGCGGCGGACGCGACGCGCAGGACGTCGTCCACGGACGCGGACGCGGCGCCCGCGCCGGCGGCTTTTCCTCCGCGTTTTTTGCCGCCGCCGCCGCCGCTGAAGCCGAAGAGCCGCCGGACGCCGCCGCCGCCGCCGCCGCCGCCGCCGCGCGCGCCTCCCGCCCCCTTCGCGCCGCCGCCCGCTCCCGCCGCGATCTCCGCGCCGACGTCCACGAGGTGCGAGAACGCGCCGGCGACGTCGCCGCCGCGCAGCACGCGCCCGGCTTCCTTCAACCCCGCCGCCCACCGCGACGACGACGCGCCGCCGCGACTCATCATCGCGCCGCCGCCGCCGCGTCTCCCTCCTCTTCTCTTACCGTTACCGTTACCGTTTAGACCCCCTTCCTCGCCGCCCGACTCCATCAGCTCCGCGTACATCCCCTGCATGCTCTCCCACAGCTCCGTGACGTTGCACCCGGGGAAGACGTCCTCGAGGTGCGCCTGCGCGTACGTCAGCGCGCGCGGCCACTGCTTCTCCACCGCCTCACTCCACGCCTTGACGCCGGCGTCGACGACGCCGCGCACCGCCGGCGACGAATACCTGGCGTATACGCCGCCGCCGCCGCCGCCGCTCGCGGACGAATACCCGTGCACCATCGAGCGGTGCGCCTCGACGACCGCGTCGCCGCTCTCGCGCGCGATGTTCACCGTGAAGAACGTCGCGACGACGGCGAGGAGAAAGACGCCGACGGCGATGAGCGACGCCGCGACGATGGGGTTAACGGACGCGATCAGCGCGCGTCGAATCTTCGCATCCGCGGCGAGGTACGCGCGGAAGACGCGCCCGCTGGTTCTGGTTTTTTTGTGACTCGAAATCGCGCGCCTCGGCGTGGGCGTCGTTTTGGAGGAAGATGAACCGTCGCGAACGACGGAAGATGAACCGTCGGCTCTTTCGGGCCCGGGCGCGATGCACCGCCGCGTGGACGACGCGATCGCGACGGCGGCCGCCGCCGCGACGAACGCCACCGCGGCGAGCGCGGCGATCGACGCGGTCAGCGCCCAGTCCCTCGACGCTAGCTTCCACACCTCCAACGAGACGCCCACGGTCGCGAGCCACTTGAAGTGAAACGTCGACGCGGAGGACGGCGCGCGCGCCGTCGCCCTCTTAGTTGCTCTCGCGGCGGCGGCGCGTCTCGACAGCGGCGACGCGGGCGCGGACGCGGGGGCCCGGGCCCCGCGCGTCCCCCCCGCCAGCCCTCCCGACGCCGTCTCGTTCAGATGACGCGCCGTCGCGGCGTCCATCGCGCGTAACGCCGCCCTCGCGGGCGCGACGACGACGGACGTCGCGAGACCGAGCAGCGTGTTCTCCGCGAGCGTCCTTCGGAGACGGCTCGCGAGCGCTACTTTTACGTCGCGCAGCGCGAGAGAGACGAGGAGCGCCCAGAGCATGGGCGACCGGAAGTCCGCGAGGAGGCGCCACATGAGGACGACGAGGCCGACGCCGAGGAGGAGGATCGCGTTCCCGACCGCGTTGAAGAGCCCGACGCGGAAGAGCGCCTCGTTGTTCGCCTGCGTCAGCCCGCCGTCGCCCGCCGCGTGATGCGCGAACGGCGTCGACGGCGTCGTCGTCGCATTCGAGACGATCGAGGTCGTCGTCGCGGACGTCGTCGGCGTGGGCGGGAGGTCGAATCGCACGCCGCCGGCGTCCGCGGCGGCGTCCTCCCCCGCGTCTTCGCTGAGCCGGCGACGCAGCCATCCCCCGATGTTGCCGCCGCCGCCGCCGCCGCTCTTCGTCGAGGCGGACGACACGAGATCCGGGGCGTTGTTGGCGCTCATCGCACGATGCGTCGTCGTCGCGCGCGGCGTGGTCTCCGGCGGCGAGAGCGCGCCCGCGGCCTGCCCCGTCGCCCGGCGCGTCAGCACGCTCTCCGGCGTCGTCGTCTCGCGCCGCGCGTGCTGCCGCGCGGCGACCTTCCCCGCGGCGTCGTCGAGCGCCCCCATCGCGCGCGGCGCTCTGGTGCTACAGTTCAAAATGCGAGACGAGCAGCTCGCACTCATCATCAACGACTCCGCCGGTCTCGTCATCTTCAGTCGTCACCGCGCCGCGATCGCGATGGCGCCGCGGACGATCATCGACGCCGGTCCCGGTCTTCACGTCGACGCGCTGCAGATCACGCCCGAGTACGTCGCGTGCGTCGCGTCCAAGTTCACCGGTCGCCTGTGGCAGGGCTACGTCCGCGCGCGCGCGGTGGGCGACGATCCATCATCAGACGGCGTCGTCGGTCCGTCAGCGTCGTCGTCGGAGGCGACGCCCGCGAAGACGACCGCCGGGATCGCGACGCTCGCGGCCGTGGGCAACAGCGACTTCGTCACCGGCAACGACGCGGGCGTGATCGAGCAGTGGCGCGTCGTCGACGGCGCCGTCGCGCGCGTCGACGCCGCGCGCGCGCACGACGGTGCCATCACCGCGGTCGCGCACGTCGCGCCGTCCTCGCTCGTCACCGGCGGCGTCGACGGGAGACTGCGATGGTGCGAGCTGACCGCGCTGGACGTCGCGACCGCGACGGTGCAGCGCGCGCACGTCAGCGCGGTCCTCGCGATCGCGGTGAACCCGAGCGATCCCTCGCTCGTCGCCACGAGCGGCGAAGACGGCGTCGTGAAGGTGTGGAAGGTGAAGGCGGCCGCGGGAGACGGCGACGGTACAGCTCGCGACAGCTGTCAGCTGTCGGCGGCGCGCGCGGGCGCCGACGTCAGAGACGACATGGGCAAAGCGCACGCGCTCGCGTGGTGCGGCGACGACGTCCTCGCGGTCGGGTACGAGCGCGGCGAGATCGTCCTCTTCGAGACGACCGCGCTGGACGCCCTGCGCACGCGCGCGGTCGTGGAGGCGCACGGCGACGCCGTCAGAGGGCTCGCGTGGGACGACGTCGGGAAGCGGCTGGCGTCGTGCGGCGACGACGGCGTCGTCGCGATTCACGCGGGGGAGGTGCCGCGGTCGACGAGGGAGGCGAAGCGGCACGACGGGGCGTACGTGAGGTGCGTCGCGTGGGGGCGGGTCGAGGGAGGGGGGGATGGGGAGGACGAGGTGGTCAGCGGCGGGTGGGACGGCGAGGTGAAGGCGGGATGATCGTCTCGACGACGAGGTGCGCGCGCGCGTCGTTGGCTATAAGATACGCGATGATTCGTTTCGATTCGATCCGTTTCGTTTAGTTTCGCTCTCGAGTTTTCGTGATATTAAATAACACTCTGAGAGGCTGCGATCTTGTGTTTTTTGTATCGCAAAAAATTCTCTTCGCTTCGTCGCCGCGCGCGCGCGGCCGCGCTCGCGACCGCCCGCGGCGGGACCCCTTTGGGGGGACGCCGCCCGCTTCGCGCCCGGTCGCGTCCCGCGACCGGGCGCAACGTTCCTAAATCAATCTCAATCCGCGTGAGACGTACCTAGTAGCAGTACCGTAATAATCATCCGCCCGATGCATGCGGAGGCGTCGGCCGCCTCGCAAACCGCGTCGCCGCCGTTCCGACTCGTCAGTCATCGTTCGGTCGAAAAAAGAATCGTCGCCGCCCGATTCGTCTTCTTCTTCCATTTCATCTTCCGTTCATTTCCTTCCATCTCCACCACGCCTTCTTCTTCATCGTTCGTTCATCCATCACGCCTTCTTCGACAAAAACCGTCACCACCGCGCGCTCGTCGCCGCCGCCGCCGCGCGCGTCCTTCACCGCCGCCGCCGCGATGCAATTTACAGCGCGATCGGCTTCTCCCAGGTGAAGACGTCGAAATCCGTGCGGCCGAAGTGCCCGTACGCCGCCGTCTGCTGGTACCGGTTGTTCGCCCCGGACGTCTTGGACGCCGAACGCTTGAGGTCGAGGTCGCGCCCGACCGGACCGGGGCGGAAGTCGATCGCAGCCTTCACCTTGGCGAGGATCTCGTCGTCCGGGATGGTCCCCGTGCCGTACGTGTCGACGAACACGGAGAGCGGATCCGGGACGCCGATGGCGTACGACAGCTGCACGATGCAACGCTTCGCGAGCCCGGCCGCGACGACGGACTTGGCCGCCTGCCTGGAGATGTACGCCGCGGAGCGGTCAACCTTCGTGGGGTCCTTCCCGGAGAAGGCGCCGCCGCCGTGCGCGCCCCAGCCGCCGTAGGTGTCGATGATGATCTTACGGCCGGTGAGGCCGGCGTCGCCGTCGGGGCCGCCGATGGTGAACCGGCCAGACGGGTTCAGGTGGAAGATGGTGTTCGCGTCGAGCAACGACGCGGGGATGACCTTCTTGATCACCTCCTCCATGAGATCCTTGCTGATCTGCTCGTTGGTGACGGTCTCGTCGTGCTGCGTGGAGATGAGCACGGTGTGGACGCGTTGCGGACGCATGGCGCCGCCTTCGTTCTTGTACTCGATCGTGACTTGCGTCTTGCCGTCGGGGCGGACCCACGGGCAGGTGCCGTTCTTGCGCACCTCCGTGAGCCTGTACCCGATCGCGTTCGCGAGCATGAGCGTCATCGGCATGAACTTGCCCTTGTACTCTTCGTACGCCTCGGACTCGTCGGTGGCGTAGCCGAACATGATGCCCTGGTCGCCGGCGCCGATCTCTTCGAGCTTCTTCGTGCCCATCCCGTGGACGCCTTGGCCGATCTCCGGGGACTGGTCGTGGAGCTCGACGAGGACGCGGCAGTTGTTGCCGTCGAGGCCGACAGCCTCGGACGTGAACCCGACGTCGTTGCACACCTTGCGGACGACGGCTTCGTAGTCAACCTTGGCCTTGGTCGTGATCTCGCCGAAGACCATCACCATGCCGGTTTTCGTCGCCGTCTCGCAAGCCACCTTGGAGTCGGGGTCCTGCGCGAGGCACGCGTCGAGGACGCCATCGGAGATCTGATCATGATCGATGGGTGGGTGGATGGTGTGTTTGTGGGGGAGGGTAGATGAGTATCGATGTGAGAGGAAGATGACGCGGAAGGGGGGGAAGAGGAGGAGGAGGAGGAGGAAAGAGAATCATCCCAACCCCGCTGAAAGAGAGAAAGAAAAAGCGAGAGAGGGTCGAACGAGCAGCCGCGCGCCGCCCGCTCGGCCAGCCTGCCAGCTGTGTGCGAGCGAACGAACGAATGTGTCTCGACGATCGATCGCCGCGCGCCGCGCACCTGGTCCGCGAGCTTGTCGGGGTGACCCTCGTTGACGGACTCGGAGGTGAAGAAGAAGGTGGAACCGTCCTTGGACGCCATTGTCGCTGCTGCGGGGCGGGGGACGGGGGATGGGGGCGTCAGGCGGCGCGTAAGACGGAAGCGCGTGAGGTGCCGGCATCTCACGCGAAGCGACGACGACGCGAAAAGCGCTGCAGAAACCCCGCGTCGTCGCGGACGCCGGGAAACGTCTCGCGTCGTCCACGGGACCCCGCGGACGCGCGCGCGTCCACTCCGCGCGTCGCGCGAGGCGTCGCGAGGGAGCGCGACGGCCCCCGCGACGCGCGATCGCGGGACGGACGCTCATCCGAGGACGGCGCCGCGATCGATCGTTCGATCGTTCGATCGATCGCGAGAAGAACGAAATCGCGCGGCGCGACGGCGGCCCGGGGACGCGCCGCCGCGCGCGCGTCGCGCCGCCGCCGCGAGTCGCGACGACGGCGCGCGCGACATCGCGCTGCCGGGAAGACGCACCTTTGTGTTACGAAAGCGGGGGGTGCTCGTGTAGCGTGCGTGAGAAGTGATGATGAGGGTGGAGACCGCGCGCGTCGAACGAAGCGCCGGACGACAGAGCAAGACAGCGAGAGCTGTGGACCGCTGATTCCGGGTGCGTTCGGAGAGAAACGGCGTGCGGTCGATTGATCGGAAGGGGTCTGGAGATCTCGTATGAAATCGAAACCATTCGGACTTCCTTCACCCATCACAGACGTCTCACGGTCTAAGAAAGTTAATAATTCCAAAAAGATGCTTACCTGTCACATCATCCAAGGGAATGGAATGCGTACCGTTTCGCCCTGTACTTCTAGTGATCGATTAGGCACTGCCTGCGTAGGTTCGAGTCCTGCCGAGTGCGAGATGGTTCTTCGGAGCCGTCGTTTACCTCAGATATGGTGTTCTTCTCTTCGGAAGCATCATGAGCACTCGTGCCCGAGCGGTTAAGGGGATCGACTAGAATGACGTTTTTTTGCATTTTTACACAACGGATCTGGTTCTACACGACATGAGGAACATTTCCGCAAAGTTTCAGGTCAAAAGGAGCAGTTTTGAGGCGACCGTGCTCGCGTCAGCAGCATGGTGCATGTCGTTTTGGGAAAAAAAAAAAAATGAGCTTGAGCCTCTCTCGCTCTAGTATGAAATCATTTTCGCGCTTTCAAACACGCCAATGAATTGACCGGTCAAATCGTCCCGAACGCAAAACGGACAAAACGCCCCCGCGATCTGCGTCACTCGCCACACGCGCGGGACGACGGCGCGTCCTCTTCATCCTCTTCCTCCTCCTCCTCCGCGGCCTCGTCCCCGCGACGCGACGCGATGTCGTCTCCGAGGCGGATGAACAGCGGGGGCGTCGACGAGTTCGCGGGGAACGTATCGACTTCCCCAGATCTCAACCTCCTGGAACGATTCGTCGAGGACGCGCCCGACGTCTTCGCCGCGCACGTGCTCCCGCGGCTCGTCAGCGGCGACCTCGCGGTGCTCACGACGGTGAACCGGAAGATGCGCGACGTCGTGTTCGAATCGCCCGTCGACCATGACGTGAGGGACGTCGCGGCGGTGAGGAGAGAGCTCGCGAGGGTGCCGAACTTCGTCGGGTCGATCAGCAGGTTGGCGTGGGCGAAGGAGCGAGGGTGTCCGTGGGAGGAGTCGACGAACCGACGAGGATTTTGGAAGACGACGTTCGGGTGCATCGCAGTGGGCGGGAACGTGGAGGTCGCGGAGTGGGCGCGCCAGAACGGATGTCCATGGAATGAGCGGACATGCGCCTGGGCCGCGAAACGCGGCAACCTGGAGTTGCTGAAGTGGGTGCGAGCGAACGGCTGCCCGTGGGACGAGAATACGTGCGTCTTTGCCGCGAAAGGTGGCCACCTGGAGGTGCTCCAGTGGGCGCGCGCGAGCAAACCCCCAGCACCGTGGGACGAGAGGACTTGCGCCGGAGCCGCGGATGGCGGCCATCTGGAGCTGCTGCAGTGGGTGCGCGCGGAAGGCTGCCCGTGGGACTACAATACTTGCGAATGGGCCGCGATGCGCGGCCACCTGCAGATGCTGCAGTGGGCGCGAGCGGAAGGCTGCCCGTGGGGCGAGTACACTTGCTCCGGGGCCGCGGCATTCGGCCACCTGGAGGTGCTGCAGTGGGCGCGCGACAACGGCTGCCCGTGGGGCAAGGAGATTTTCGCCGACGCCGCGGAAGGCGGCCACCTGCACGTGTTGGAGTACATGTTGGAGTGGGAACGAGAGAACGAACCCCTAGCTCCGTGGGCCGAGGAAATGTGCGTCGAAGCCGCGTCTGTGGGCGACCTGGAGATGCTGCAGTGGGCGCGCGCGGAAGGCTGCCCGTGGGACGAGAGGACTTGCGCCGAAGCCGCGATGGGCGGCCACCTGCAGATGTTGCAGTGGGCGCGCGCGAACAGCGCTCCGTGGGACGAGAGGATTTGCGCCGGGGCCGCGCGATATGGCCACATGGAGGTGCTGCGGTGGGCGCGCGCGAACGGCGCTCCAGAGTAATGTGACGACCAGCAGAGAACGCGATTGTAACGAAAGAACGGACGAACGAACGAACGAACGAACGAACGCGGACGCACTCGAATACACTGCCGCGCGCGGCGACGGACGCTCTTTCTCCTCCCATCTTCGAGACGTCCCTCCGCCGCGGTAAGTTCGACGAGTCCAGGAAGCTCTCCGACGGCTCCCTCATGGAGTTCGCGAAGGTGTACCCCATGGACGCGGTCTACGACACGATGGACGACGTTCCCGAGGACGTCCTCGCGAACAAGCGCTACGCCGGGACCCGAGAAATTGAAAAAAATACATGCAGTGTTCAGCCTCTCTCGCGAGCACTGACACAAGTCGTCGCCCTCGCGCCGCGAACGCCACGCGCCGCGAACCCTCCTCGCGACGCCGGCGCCCGGCCGTGGGAGCGGCGATACGCCCTGTCCCTAGTCATGGTGCGCGCGCGCGCGCTCGTTCACGCCGACCTCGAACGACCGACGGCGACGGCGTCAATCGCATTCGCCCGCGCCCCCGCCTTCATCCCGATTCAGCGCGACGACGACGACGACGACGACGCCCTCTGATCCTCCGCCCCCCCAACCCCCTCGCTCGATCTCATCCCCAGGCGACGTTCTCCGAGAAGACGGCCGCGCTCAGGGCGGCGTACGTCGCGAACATCAAGTCGCTCCCGCCGATCAAGCCGCTGATGGACGCGCTCGACGCGCGCGTCGAGGACGGCGTCGCGTTGACGCAAATCGCGCTCAACGGGAACGGGAAGCTCCTCTTCAACGACCGCCCGAGCCGCGCGCACGTCGTCGCGCTGTGCGACGCGCTCGCGACCGACGACGTCGTGGAGAGGCTGGACTTGTCGTACAACTTCATCGACGACGACGGCGCGGTCGCGATCGCGAGGATGCTGCGGAGGAACCGCACGCTCACCGAGCTGGATTTGCGAGGGAACGACGTCGGACCGGCGGGCGCTGCCGCGCTGGCGGAAGCGCTCGCGGGGGTGCCGTGGGTGGAGGAGGAGGAGGAGGAGGAGGAGGGTGCCGAGGGTGCCGACGACGCGGTGGAAGAGGACGGCGCGGAAGAAGAACCGGCCGCCGAGGCGGCGGCGGCGGACGAGAACGAGGACCCCGCGGCTGCGGCGGCGGCGGCTGAAGCGGAACCGCCCGCGAAACCGTCGCCGCCGCCGGTCGCCGGCTGCTCGCTCGTGACCCTGAACCTCGCCGGGAACCCCCTCGGCGTGGACGGCGGCGTCGCGATCGGCGAGTCGCTCCGTTCGAACACCACGCTGATCGACCTCAACCTGAACGACTGCTCGCTCGACGCGAAGGCGTTGATCGCCGTGCTCACCGCGGTGAACGAGTCCAACGCGACGCTGCGACGTTTATCGCTCGAGAACCCGCGGATATTCAGCGAACAAGAGGAGCACGCGTGGCACGCCGCGCGCATGCTCGCGGTGAATAAAACGCTGAAGAGCCTGAGATGCGGGAAATGGAAAATCTACTCCACCGGCGTGGAGGTTCTCGCCGGGTACGGCGTCTGCGTGAACGAATCCTTGGAAGTCCTCGACCTTCGGTGTAACAAAATTTGCGAAGTCGGCGGCGCGTTCCTCGCGCGTATCATACGCGACAACGAAGGCCTGCGACGGATCGGGCTCGACGCGAACGCGCTGAGGGACAACGGCGCGATCGCGATCGCGGACGCGATGCCGGAGTGCGCGTCCGTCGCCGAGTTCGATCTGCGGTCGAACGGGATCGAAGACGCAGGGCTCTGCGCGCTCGCGAGGGGCGTCGCCGGCATGCCGAGCCCGCCGGCGGAGGTTTTGTTGTGGGGGAATCACTTCGCGGAGGCGTCGAGCATCGCGTGGAGGGACGTTTTGGAGTATCACGACATCGTAACGGACGTGACGTTTCGGGTCGTGGACGGGGAGCTGCAGGCCGCGCGGGTGGAGCCGCCGGCGCCGAGTCGCGAGAGCTGGGGGTTGACGTGACGCGACGCGACGTTGGTTTGCGCTCGCGCCGATGAAAAATCGCTATTAGCCCTCAGTAGTACAGTATGAAATTATTTTCGCGCTTTCAAAAACACCGATGAATTGACCGGTCAAATCGTCACCATAACCAAGAAAACGCCTCGAGATCTCGCCCCGTCTCGTCACTCGCCACACGCGCGGGACGACGCCACCACCTCCTCCTCCTCCTCCTCCTCCGCGGCCTCGTCGCGAAGTTCTCTCTGACCCCGCGACGCGATGTCGCCTTCGCGACCGAAGAAGTGCGCGCGTCTCGTAGGCGCCGGCGACGAGACCATGAGCGCGAAAGTCCTTAAGGATCGGCGTTCACCACGCGAACGCGGTCGTATGGGAACCAGTGTATAGAACGCACCTAACGGATCGTCTTCCGTCGACCTCGACGACGACGCCCCGCCCCTGGAACGACTCGCCGCGGACGCGGACGCGCGCGATGTCTTCGACGCGAACATCCTCTCGCGGCTCGACAGCGGCGACCTCGCGGTGCTCGCGACGGTGAGCCGTCAGATGCGCGACGGCGTCTTCACGTCGCCCGTCGAGCATGACGTGAGGGACCTCGCGGCGGTGAGGAGGGAGCTCTGGAAAATGCCAAACTTCGTCGGGTCGGTCGGCGGGCTGGCGTGGGCGAAAGAGCGAGGATGTCCGTGGGAGGTGACGAAGTTCGCGCTGCGATGTTGGACGTACTCGAGGGCAGGATATCCGCTCCAGAAGAAGACGACGTTCGGGTGCATCGCAGCGGGCGGGAACGTGGAGGTCGCGGAGTGGGCGCGCCAGAACGGACTTCTATGGAATGAGTGGACATGTGGACAGTGGACATGCGACAACGCCGCGGAAGGCGGCCACCTGGAGATGTTGCAGTGGGCGCGAGCGAACGGCTGCCCGTGGGACGCGAGGACTTGCGCCCACGCCGCGGAAGGCGGTCACCTGCAGATGCTACAGTGGGCGCGCGCGAACGGCTGCCCGTGGGACGAGGAGACTTGCGCCCACGCCGCGAAAGGCGGCCACATGGACGTGCTGGAGTGGGCGAGAGCGAACGGCTGCCCGTGGCATTGGAGCACTTGCGAATATGCCGCGGAAGGCGGCCACCTGGAGGTGTTGAAGTGGGCGCGCGCGGAAGGCTGCCCGTGGGACAAGGAGACTTGCACCGCAGCCGCGTATGGCGGTTACCTGGAGATGTTGCAGTGGGCGCGCGCGGAAGGCTGCCCGTGGGACGTGGAGACTTGCACCGAAGCCGCGAGAGGCGGCCACCTCGACGTGCTTAAGTGGTTACGAATGAACGAAGCTCCGTGGAACAACTGGACTTGCGCCAATGCCGCGAAAGGCGGCCACATGAGGATGCTGCAGTGGGCGCGGGCGAACGGCGCTCCGTGGGACGAGCGGACTTGCGCCGAAGCCGCGGGTGGCGGCCATCTGAAGGTGCTTAAGTGGTTACGAAAGAACGAAGCTCCGTGGAACGCGACGACTTGCGCCCTCGCCGCGTATGGCGGCCAACTGGAGGTGCTGCAGTGGGCGCGCGCGAGTAAACCCCCAGCTCCGTGGGATGAGGGGACTTGCTACTGTGCCGCGGGTGAAGGCCACCTGAAGGTGCTGAAGTGGGCGCGCGCGGAAGGCTGCCCGTGGGACGAGAGGACTTGCGCCAACGCCGCGAAAGGCGGTCACCTGGACGTGCTGCAGTGGGCGCGCGCGGAAGGCTGCCCGTGGGACGAGAGTACTTGCGCCGAGGCCGCGGAAGACTTTGGTCACCTGGACGTGCTGGTGTGGGCGCGCGCGAACGGCGCTCCTGAGTAATGTGACGACTAGAGAACGCGCTTGTAACAAACGAACGAACGAACGAACGAACGCGGACGCACTCGAATACACTGCCGCGCGCGGCGTCGAAAATGACAAAAATACAAGTGTGTGCTGGAGCCGCGAGAGCTGGGGGTTGACGCGGCGAATGTTAAACGCGCTGTCGGGTAGGAGTCATATAAACATACACCATCAAATCAAACGCTTCGTTCGTGGGTGTTTATTCGAGTCGATCACAGCTCGTCCTTCGGCGTCGCGGGCGCGGTGGCGTCCTCGTCGTAGTCCTCCTCCTCCTCCTCCTCCTCCTCCTCCTCCTCCTCGAGCGCTTTGTCCGCGGCGGCTTCTTCCTCCGCCTTCGCGCGCGCGGCTTCTTCCTCCTTCGCCTTCTCCGCGGCGTGCGCCTCGTACATCGCGCGCTCGCCTTCTTTGCTCGCGCCCCAGGTCTCCTCCGCGAACCGCGCGGCGTACGCCGCGTCGTCCGTCACGAGAACGTTATCGAAGATCGTCCCCGCGGTGACCTGCCACAGCTCGAACCCGACGTACCTCAGGTCCGAAAACTTATACAACTCCGCCGCGTCGTCCGCGTTATACGCCGGGTTCGGGATCTCCGGCGCCGCCCACGCGCCCTTGTACGCCGGGTTATCGATCGTCTTCTGCTCCCACGCGCCCTTGTACTCCGGGTTATCGATCATCGGCGGCTCCCAGTCGCCGTCCTCGTCGTCGTCCCAGTCTTCCGGTTTCGACGCCTCCGGGTCCGCGACGGTGGGCGGGACGTCGTCGTACCCCTCGGGTTTCACGTCGCTCTCGTCCGGGATCGTCGCGCGGTCGTCCCAGTCCTCCGGCTTCGTCGCTTCCGGGTCCGCGATCGTCTTCGGGGGTAAGAACTCGAAGTCTTCCTCCAGAGATCCGCGCTCTTTCTCTTCGTTGTCGATCAAGACCTCGTACGTGTTGTTCGCGTGCAGACGCAGCGTGTACACGTGCGTGAGCTCGTCCGTCTCGCACGGGATCGTCTTCTTCACGAGCTGATTGGTCCCCTTGGAATCCGTGAGGATGACGTGGACCCTGCGCGTCGCGTACCCGCAGATGTCCGGGCCGAACATGACGGCGTACGGCGTGTCTCCGCCGAACGCGGACGCGTCCGTCGTCGACGGCAACAATTTGACGTACCCGCCGCCGCAGTCGAGCTTCTGCTCGTGCTTGGCGCTGAACTGAAGCACGAGCGACTTGCCTTCGTTCGTGATCGTCTCGCCCATGTCCGCGCTGAGGGCGTAGAAGCGCGCGTCCGCGGAGGTTTGAATGCCTCTGTCCGCGTCCGCGTCGCCGTACCACTTCCCGCGCGTCAGCTCGAAGTCGCCGTCCTGGCCTTCGGAGGTCTTCCACGAGGACTTCGTCCATCGGTCGCGCCAGCCGTCTGCGGGTGGACGGCGAGGAGGGAGCGGGAGGACGGAGGAGGAGGAGGAGGAGGAGGAGACGGTCAGGACGGGATCGCGAGCGCGCGGGAAGCGATCGCGGCGGACGCGATGGATGGAGAGCGGACGTCGCGAGATCTTCCGATCGATTTATCGATCGAACGATCGATCGCGTTTCGAAGCGACGTGCCGCGATCGAAGAAGCTCGAGCGACGGCGACGCGAGCGACGCGCGCGGGACGCACCGTCGAATCGCTCTTCGAAGTACACCTCCGCGGAGACGACGGAGGCGATCGCCGCGAGGAACGCGAGGACCGTCGCGAGCTTGAACATGTCGAGATCTGCGGGCGAGGGAAGCGGACGTCGCGCGCGACGAAGTGACGGCGCTGACGAGACGCGACAGCGACAGGACCTCTCAGCGAAACTGGAGGGACGCGGCGGACGTCGATCTCGTCGACGAAGAAAGCCCGCGCCCCCCCCGCGCGTCGCCATAAACCCTCGCGCGCCATGGAAGTCGCCGACTTCGCGTACAAGCCCGCGAAGGAGTTCGCGAAGGACTCCATCCGTCTCATCCGCAAGTGCACGAAGCCGGACAAGAAGGAGTTCAGCAAGGTGGCGCTTCGAACGGGGATGGGGTTCATCGTGATGGGGTTCGTCGGGTTCTTCGTGAAGCTCATCTTGTGCGTCGCCGTCCTCGCGCGATCTCCGTCCTCCTCTTCCTCTTCCTCTCCCTCTTCATCGTCGTCGTCGTCGTCGTCGTCCCTCGCGCGTCGCGTCGCGTCTTCGTTCCTCCTCGTGCGCCGCGATCGCCGCGCGCGCGGAGGAAGGGGGGGCGAGGTGGACCGACCGATCGATCGACCGATCGCGCGCCCGCGGCGCGTCGCCTCGTTCGTCACGATTAATTATTCCGCGCGTCGTTTCCCCCTCTCGAGCTTTCGCGCCGCGATCGACCGTTCGCGCGACTGACGTCCCCGCGCTCGTTCGCTCCTCTCGCAGCATTCCGATCAATAACATCATCCTCGCCGCGTAGACGGCGCGAACGGAGGACGCGGGGTCGACGGAGGAAGGATGGGGGTGTTAGGGAGAGGCGTTTGGCCGCGGATTGAATTGGCGAAATGAAAAGGAGAACAGTATTAGACTTCACGCGTCGTCGATCGTCGCGCGTTTCGTTTCGATTCGTTCCGTTTCGTTTCGTTCGCTCTAAAGTCTCAGACGCCGTTACAAGTACAAGGCCGCCCGAGCGCGTAAATACTCTCCTCGCCGCGAGATCATCTCTTCTCTCGCCCTTCGCCGCCGCCGCCGCGCCGTCGTCATCATTCAATTCATTCGCCCGCGACTCGATCGTCCTCCTCCTCCTCCTCTCTCCCCGACCGCCGCCTCTCACGCCGTAACCTCCAACTTCTCGAGCAGCTGCGTCGCGTACGTCGGCGAATAATACTGCACAATCTCCTCCGGGTAGCAGCTCTTGATGATGTCCACGTACTCCTTCAACGCCGTCCCCGCCTCCGCGTCCAGGGCTTGGCACGCGGCGAGCCCGCCGCCGACGACGAAATCGTGCCGCCCCTGCGGATCGTTCGGCAGCACCTTGGATATCTGATGCACGACGTACCGCACAATCTCGTGCGGCAGCTCGCGGTTCTGCAGCGTCTTATCCAGCGCCCTCAAGTCCGTGAGCTTCTCGATGATAAAACGCAGCGATCGCACGCACTTCGTCTTCAAGTCGTCCGAGCTCCGCGGGTTGGCGCCGACGGCGACGAGCTTCGATAGCGCGCCGGCGTCCGCCACCGCCTTGGCGTGATCCGGCGTGTGCCGCCCAATCTGCCCCAAGCTCCACGCGCTCGCGGACTTGATGTGATCCTCCGGCTCTTCCACGAGCGCGGCGTACAGCGGCGCGATCCCCTTGGACGCGATCACCGCCGTCGCGAGCGTCTCCGAAAACGCGGCGACGTACCCGAGCGCCATGATCCCCGGCAGTCGGTTGTTGCTCTCCGACTCGTGGACGTAATCCACGAGCGCGCCGACGCCGCCGTTGCTGACGATGAGCTGCGCGAGCTCCGGCGTGTGCTTCGCCACCTCCCGGATGCACGTCGCCGCGTGCTTCCGCACGAACCCGTCGACGTCCTTCAGACACATGAGGATGTTCGGGAAGATCTCCGCCTCCACGACAACCTCCGCGAGATCCACCGAGTGCTTCGCGACTTGCCCCAACGCCGCGCACACCTGTCGCTTCAGCTTGGCGTCGGGGGACACGATCAGCGGCGCGAGATACGCGATCGCGCCGGCGTCGACGACCGCCTGCGCCATCTCCGGCGTGTGCTTCGCGATGTCCGACAGCGAGCTCGCCGCGATGCGTTTCAACGACAGCTCGGGCTCCTGCACGCACAACACGAGGAGCGGCACCGCGCCAGCCTCCACCACCTGAGGGTCATTGAAAGGCGTTGAAAGGCGTCAGTGGCGGAGTTGAAAGGCATCGCGGCGTGTCGGGATTGAAAGCGAGGGATGGGCGGAGAGAAACGGCGGGCAAAGTCCTTAAGGAACGGCGTTCACCACGCCGACGCCGTCGTATGGGGACCAGTGATAGATAGATAGACCCACCGTCGCGGCGAGATCCGCGTTGTGGCCCGCGACGTATCCCAACGCCCACGCCGCGCTCTCCTTGACGCCCGGGTCGAACTCCTCGAGGCACTGCACGAGAGAGTCGAGCGCGCCAGAGTCCACGACAGCCTGCGCGAGCGGCGGGGAGTGCTTCGCGACGGCGCGGAGTACGAACGCTGCGGCTTGTTTGTAGAATCGGTTCTGTTCGCTGAGCGAGTAGACGAGCTGTGGGAGGATCTCGTTGCTCACGACCGCCTCCGCGAGGTGGTCGCTGTAGTTGGCGAGCCTTCCGAGCGCGATCGCCGCGGACTGTTGGATGCTATCGCGCGGACGGGAGCGGCGAGGGAGGGAGGGAGGGATGGATGGATGGGGAGGTGAGCGGGAGGCGGCGCGCGCGGAGGCGGGAGAGAGAATCGGTGGGCGGGGGTCAGAGAATTGCGCGGCGACGCGACGGCGTGCCATTTTTGGGGCGGGCGCGATCGCGGATCGACGCGCGCGCGCGACGCCGCGCGCGCCGCATGGCGCGCCGCGACGCCGCCGCGCGCCCCTCCGCGAGCGCGCGTTAAACGTATCAGCGGGTGTTCTCTTCCTTCGCACCTCGGGACGTTGTCCAACAGCAGCGGACGAAGGAGCGCCATGACGCCCGCGCTCTGCATGGGCTCGACGTTTTGCGGTCGCGTCGCGAGCTCGGCGACCGTCTGCACGAACGCGACGCGATCTTTCTGGTACTTCTCGAAGACCTGCAGGACCGCGCGCGTGGCCGCCATCGTACCCGGGTTCAAGAGGAGGTACGTAAGCGCGGGGCGCGGGGTCGGGTGGTGGGCGCGCGCGTCGACGCCGCGCGTGGGGATTGTGTTCGCGGAGCGCGCGCGCGCTCGGGGGGTCGCGAAATGTTTGGAACGAAGGCGCTCGTCGCGCGGGAGGAGACGGATTTGGTATGGGGCACGGCGTTTTATACTGTTTGAGCATACGAAACGAGTACGAAGTTCCGTACGTAGTACGGAAACCTTCCCCGAGCCTCGGACTTCCAACCTCGGACGACGCGAACGGGGAGGAGTTACGACGCGCGCGCCGCGCGTCACACCCGCCGCCGCCGCCGCCGCCGCCGCCGCGCGCGACGATGGAATCGAGATGGGATAACAGGCACATCGCGCCGTTCGACGCGCTGCCCGTCGTGCCCGCGGACGGCCCGTGGACGCCGCCGCCGCACGAGTTCGAGCCGCCGCGCGCGTCGCGCCCGCCGCGCCCGTCGACCGCGACGCTCAAGGTTCGCTACGCCGCGGTGCGCACCGCCGAGGATTTGCGACAGGCGATCGTCTTCGCCGCGCGCGAGGACGACCTCCACGGCCTGCGATGGCTGCTGCGCGAGTTCCCGAAGATGCCGCGCGACGACCCGACGCCGGTGGAGCGCGCGGCGGAGCACGGGCACTTCGAGACCCTCAAGTGCGTTCTGTCTCGCGATCGCGCGCGAACAGAACGTTTTTCACCCACCCCTCGGTTTCAACATTTGATCGCGTCTCCTTTCAGCTGACCCGTGTATTGATTGGCCCTCAGGTGGCTCCGCGCGCGCGGCTGGCCGTTTTCTCCGTGCGCCATCGGCGCCGCCGCGAGCGAAGGCAGACTGGAGATCGTGCATTGGCTGCGAAAGGACGGGAACGTGTGGTCCGGGATGTCCAACTACAAGCAGCGGGTCCACCCGGAGTATCCGAACATGTGAGCACAGCTGTGCGCGAGTAGAAACAGAAAGCTTTAAAAAAAAAACGTGATGAAAAAAACGAAGTAGCCGTCTCTCTCAAAGACCCTCGCCCTTCGCCGCGCGCGCGCGGACGATGGTCCGAGGCGTCTGCACGCGCTGCCCCGGCCTCCCCCACGATTGGTTCCGCGTCGAAGCGGAAGGGGAGACGTACTACTGGAACAAGCGGACGGCGGTGACGACGTTCGACGCGCCGACGCCGGAGCGCGAGTCTGACGCGACGGCTGGCGACGACGCGGGCGAAGGCGACGACGACGACGACGCGCGCGGCGCCGCCGCCGCCGCCGCCGCCGCCGCCTCGCCCGCGGACCCGCGGGTTCGACGACGGGATCGCGAGATCGCGGGCTCGGGGCGCGGCGACGGCGCGCGGGAGGAGATCGAGCGAGATCCGACCGGCGACGGCCACGGCGACGGCGCGCGCGCCCGCGGCGACGGCCACGGCCCGCGGAAGGGCGCGAAGCGACGGCGCGCGGAGAGGGCGCGCGAGGGAGGAGATCCGAGGGACGAGAGAGACGCCTCCCCGCGCGACGAAGGCGAAGGCGGGCCCGACCTCTCGAGCGTCGCGAAGACGCACGAGACCCTCGGCCCGCTGCTCGAGTGCCTCGCGCGCGACGACGAGACTAACGCCGCGGCGGCGCGGTGCGGACAGCTCAGCGTCCTCAAGTGGCTCCGCGCGAACGCGTTTCCGTGGAACGAGCGGACATGCGTCGACGCCGCGAGGCACGGGCAGTTCGACGTTATGAGGTGGGCGCGCGCGAACGGCGCGCCGTGGGATCAGAGAGCGGTGACGCGCGCCGCGATGGAGGGCGGGCGCGACGAGATCGCGGCGTGGGCTCGGGCCGAGGGTGCGAACGGCGCCGGCGCCGGCGACTTGGACAACGACAGGTACGACCGTCGCGGGCCGCCGACGAGACCCGCTCCCCCGGCCGAGGAAACGCGACGCGGCGGCCAATATGATCCCTCCCCTCCTCCGCGTGATCTTCTCGAGAGGGCGATCGCGAAGCTTCTCGACGTCGTCGAACGCCACGGCGGTCGCCTGAACAAAGGATTCATTTCGGAGTTGCACGCGGAGATGCCGGAGACGATAGATCTCGTCAGGAGGATGAAACTTAAAGCGTTTTGCGAGGCTTCGAACGGACGACTGATTTTCGAGACAGTCGACGATCGCGGCGACGGCGTGATAGTCGCGGCTAAATCGTGGAGACCCGCCCCGGCGAAAGCGCTCGTACGAGTAGACCGGTATCAGGTCCCCAACGCGGTCGTCGAATGTCCAAAGTGCGGTGATCCGAGTCACCACGTGAGCCGCTGCCCTCTCGCGAACTGTCGCTCGTGCGGCCGCTCCGGACACTTAAGCGGTGCGTGTCCCGACGCCACGTGCTTTAGGTGCGGCAAACGGGGTCACGAAAGTCGCTTCTGCAGGGAGCGACCAAACCCTTCATCGGGTTGTCTTCAGTGCGGGAGCCGCGAACATTTCTTGCGGGACTGTCCGGACGTCGGATGCTTCCATTGCGGAGAGTTTGGTCACAGGAGGGACGAGTGCCCGCGCAGGCGCCGCGGGCCGTGGTGAACGAACGCGAACGAGACGAAGAACGCGAGATGAACGTACGGAACGATATGTACGTGTAACGGAACGAAGGCATACGTTTTTAACATCGATCGAACGTAAATACTTTAATACGACTTCGCGAAGAGGCACACCTCCTTCGCCTCGACGCCGGTCATCAAACACGTGTGCGGCCCCGCGGGCTGGTCGAACGGAAAGCACCGAATCGTCGCGCCGGTGTCCTCCTTCACCTTCTCCTCGTCCGCGTCGCTGCCTTCCCATCCCCCTCTGGCCCACTTCCCCGCGTCGATCGCTGCTTTGAGTTCTTCGTACGACGTCACGTCCACGATGTTCTCGTCCCTAAACGCTCTCGCCTCGCTCAACAGCGCGCTCTGGACGTCCGCCAACGTCTCCCGGACTTTACCGACGAGCGCGCTCGGTTCCACGGAGACGCCGAACTCCTTCCCTTCCTTCCCGGGCTTGTCCCTCCGCGCGAGCACGCACGCGTCGTTCGCGACGTCTTTCGGGCCGATCTCGACGCGAATCGGTACCCCCTTCATCTCCCACTGCGCGAACTTCCACCCCGGCGAGTTCCTCTCGTCGTCGTCGAGCTTGACGCGGACGCCCGCGTCCGTCAGCGTCTTCACGACCGCGCTCGCGGCGGCGTTCACGGACTCCTTGTCCTTGTTCTTCTGCGCGATGGGGACGACGACGACTTGGATCGGCGCGAGCGCGGGCGGGAGCCTTAGGGTCGTTCCATACAAGGCGATGGCGGGGTGGAGTTGAAAGGCGTCAGTGGGCGTTGAAAGGCGCCGAGGGCGGGGATTGAAAGCGAGGGGTGAGCGGAGAGACACGACGGCAAAAGTCCTTAAGAAACGGCGTTCACCACGCGAACGCGGTCGTATGGGGACCAGTGTATAGAACGCGCCGTAAGCCGACGTCGTCGCCGTGGGTCATGATGATCCCGCCGATGAGCCGCGTGCTGACGCCCCACGAGCTCTGATGCACGTGCTGCGTTTTCCCGTTCTCGTCCAGGAACGTCGTGTCGAACGCCTTTGCGAAGTTTTGCCCGAGGTTATGCGACGTCCCCGCCTGCAGCGCTCGCTTATCCCCCATCATCGCCTCGATCGTGTACGTGTTATTCGCCCCCGCGAACGTCTCGACGCGCGATTTACGGCCGACGATCACCGGCATCGCGGCGACGTCCTCGGCAAACTCGCGGTACACGTCGATCATCTGCACCGCGCGCTCCTCCGCCTCCTCCGCGGTCGCGTGCGCGGTGTGCCCCTCCTGCCACAGAAACTCGAGCGTGCGAATGAACGGCCGCGTGCGCATCTCCCACCGATGGACGTTCGCCCACTGATTCATCAGCAGCGGCAGGTCGCGGTAGGACTGAATCCACTGCGAGAACATGTGGTTCACGATCGTCTCGGACGTCGGACGCACCACGAGCGGCTCCTCGAGCGTCTTCCCGCCGCCCTGCGTCACGACCGCGAGCTCCGGGGAGAACCCTTCCACGTGCGACGCCTCCTTCGTGATGAACGAATACGGGATGAGCTGCGGAAAGTACGCGTTCTCGACGCCCGTGGTCTTAAACTTCGCGTCCATCCAACGCTGAATGCCCTCCCAGAGCGCGTACCCGTACGGGCGTATGACCATCGTGCCTCGCGCGGGGCCGTAGTCCGCGAGCTCGCACTCGCGGATGACGTCGAGGTACCAGCGCGAGAAGTCTTCGGATTTCGGCGTGACGCCAACCTCCGCGCCCGCCTTGGGCTTGGCCTTCGCGGCGTCCGCCGCCGCCGCCTTCGCCGCCGCCTTCGCCGCGGCCTCCGGGTCCGCGAGCGCCTCCGCGGTAGCCTTCAGCTCCTTCAGCTTCGCGACCGCGGCGTCGACGTCCGCCTTGCTGACGTCGGCGCCGTCCTTCTTCGATTGCTTCAGCGCGCGCACGACGTCGCCCTGCGCCGCGGCGGCCGCGGTCGCGGCCGCGACGTCGTCCGCGCTCGCGGCCGTGCCCGCCGTCGCCGCGCGCGGCGCGTGGGACGCGCCGCGCGACGGCGCGAGGGACGCGAGGACGCGCGGATGACGCGCGGAGAAGGACGGGAGCGCGGACGCGGCGTTTGCGGCGCCGCGAGCGAGGCGGGGGAAGAGCGGGAGGGCGGCGTGATGACGATGTTGGTGATGATGACGCGTCGACGCGGTCGTCGCGCGGACGGCGACGCTCGCGCGACGCGAGGCGACGCCTCCGCGGAGGGCCCTGCCGATCGAGCGCGAGAACGCCATCGTGGTGTCACCGCGAACTCCGGTGACGGACATGGAGGTGTGAGCGTCGCGTGAGGCGCGCGCGTTGGACTGATGAGCGTCGTCCCCCGAGCGCCGCGTCTTATCGATTGAGGACCGCCGAAGCCCTCGCCGGAGGGTTTCGTTTCGCGCCGGTATCAAATCTGTCGGTCAACAAAAACGTTCACCCAAAAACGTTCACCCACACGACCGATCACCTTGACCGCTGGATATCAATTTTTTTTGCGCGCTGTTAATTATTTAACCTGCGTTTGAACAGAACCTCTCCGACGGCGGCCACTCGCGGACGCGCACCGCACGCCTTCCCGGGCTCCGGCGTCGCGCTCTCGCTTCGGTCCTCGAACGATAGGCCTCGAACGGAAGATCCGGCGCTGAAGTCTCGCGCGCGGACGCGTTTGAAGGCGCGCGCGGGAGGGCGATCTCTGCCTCCTCGGCGCAGATTTTTTTATTTGACGTCGCGCAGGAAAGATGATGCAGACGTCGACGACGCCGGCGACGGCGTCCGCGGCGCTCGCGGCGTCGTCGCGGCCGCTCATGCGCCGCCCCGTCGCGGCGTTCGCGACGTCGCGGAGGACGCCGCGCGCGTCGTCGCCCGCGTCGTTTTCCGTTCGCGCGAGGACCCCGCGCGACGCGACGACGCCGACGCCGGTCGCCGCCGCGCGCGTCGACGTCGCGCGAGCGGCGGGCGCTCGCCGCGCGTCGTCGCCGCGCGTCGTCTCCACGCCGCGGCGTCCCCGCGCCGCCGCCGCGATCGCCGCGGCGTTCGCGCCGGCGCCGGCGCCGCGCCGCGCGGAACAGGATGATCCGTCGTCGCCGCCGCGCGGGGGCTCGATCGTCGCGACGGCGTCGTCGCCGTCGAGCGGCGGCGACGCGTCGTCGACGACGTCGATGAAGCAACCCGATCGCAACCCGATCGCGAGATTCCTGAAACCCCTCGACGGCTTGTGGGGGAAGCTGATCCCCATGGCGATCATGTTCTACTGGATGGCGCTCGCGAACGGCGTCCTCGACGCGCTCAGAGACGCGCTCGTCGTCACCGCGTTCGGCGGCGCGGAGCAGATCCCGTATCTCACCGTGTACGCCGTGTTGCCCGCGTCGCTCACCTTCGTCGCCGTCTTCGCGAAGTTCAGGTGCGTTCTATACACTGGTCCCCATACGATCGCGTTGGCGTGGTGAACGCCGATCCTTAAGGACTTTTCCTGGCGCGTCTCTCCGCCCAGCTCTCGCTTTCAATCCCCGCCCTCGACGCCTTTCAACTTCATCTGACGCCTTTCAACTCCACCCCGACGTCGCTTTGTATGGAACGACCCTCAGCCAACGATGGGGCCGCGAGAAGCTCTTCTACATCTTCCTCGCGTTCTTCATGACCTTCTTCGCCGTCTTCACGCTCGTGCTGTACCCGAACATCGACGCGCTGCATCCGACCGCGTTCGGCGCGTCCGTCGCCGCGGGCCTCCCCGCCGGCCTCGCCGGCGGGGTCGCCGTGCTCACCAATTGGGTCTACTCGTTGTTTTACGTCGCGAGCGAGATGTGGGGAGACGTGATGCTCTCGCTGCTGTTCTGGGGGATGGCGAACGAGACGACGCGGCTCGAGGACGCGGGGATCATCTACCCGCTCCTCGGCGTCGGCGCGAACGTCGCGCAGGCGAGCAGCGGCGTGATCGTGCGTTGGGTCTCGAGCTACGGCGGGTGGACGCATCTCACCGCCAAAGAGGCGTGGAGCGTGAAGCTCAACATCCTGATGTCCATCGCGTTCGCGTGCTGCGTCGGGATCGGGTTGACGCACGCGTACATCATGAAGCGCGCGCACGACGCGGACGGAGGGAAGCAGTACGACCTCGACCAGGCCGCGGCGTTGAAGGCGAGGGAGGATCACGCGAAGGATCAGGCGAGGGTCGCCGCGGGGAGAAAGCCCAAAAAGGACAAGACGGGCTTGATCGACGCGCTGAAATTCGTCGCGCGCACGCCCGAGGTGCTGTGCCTCGCGGTGATGTCCATCTGCCAAGGCCTGAGCAGCATCTTATTCCAGGTGGCGTGGAAGGGGCAGCTGAGGATATTACACCCGGAGCCGCACGCGTACAGCGCGTTCATGGGCGACGTCCAGCTCGGCAGCGGCTGCCTGACGTGCTTCCTCATGATCATGGCGCCGTGGCTGTTCAAAACCCTCGGCTGGGCCGGGACGCTGTCCGTGACGCCAAAGTTCAGCGCGATCGCGGGGTGGAGCTTCTTCGGGTGTTCGATATGGCTGGCGTCCAGAGGGATGCTCGTGCACGGCGCGCCTCTGTTGACATACCTCGCGTGGGGCGGCGCGGTGTTGTACGTCATGGAACGCGCCGCTAAATTTTCGCTCTTCAAACCCGCGGAGGAGATGGTCTACATCACCCTCGACGAGGAGTCCAAGACGAAAGGCAAAGCCGCCGTGGACGTCCTCGGCGCGCAGGTGGGGAAGACGGGCGGGAGCATGCTTCAGCAGGGGTTTTTGCTATTCTTCGGCACCATCGTCGCTTCGCTGCCGTTGCTCGCGGCGGGACACACGTCGATCGTGTTGCTGTGGCTGTGGGCGGTGCGGAGGCTCGATAGGATGCACGGCGCGGAGCTGGAGCGGGTTCACGCGCGGTTGGACGATTTGGACGAGGACGCGGCGTCGCCCGCGGTGGCGTGATGAGACGGCGACCGCGACGGGCGGCGGGGGGGAAGTCGACGGATGTATTTTTGTCAACCTTAAGGTTACTTTGTTTTGTCGTCGCCGGCAGATTGGAACGCGTACGCACTGGTCGCGCTCGTCTCTGTCACGCGGTACGGTACACGTACGTTACGTTATGCTCCCTACATTACATCCTACTACAGTGCGCTCATCATCACTTCGCTTCGCTTCGCTTCACTTCTTCTTCTTCGGCGCGTTCGCGCCCGGCCCGCCCGTCTGCGTCGCGGACGCGTACCCCATGGCGCGTAACATCTCCATCACCGTCGCCGCGACGTCGCCCTGGAACGTCATCGCGCCGTTCTCCGCGACGCTCCCGCCGCACCCGAGCACCTTCTTAAATTTCTGCGCGATCTCCTTCGCGGCGTCTTTCCCCCCCGGCGGCGCGAACGCGTCGATCACGGTGACGGTCTTTCCCTTCGTGCCGCTCCGCGTGACGCCGACGCGGACTCTCTGCGCGGCGATGTCGACGCCGACGCTCGCGCCCGCGCCCGCGCCGATCGCGTTGGGGGGCTTCTTCGCGCCGCCGCCTCGCGTCGGCGCGGCGGTGGTCTTCGATGATTTTGACTTCGCGCGCTCGGCTTTCATCGCGCCGCCTTTGGACAGCGCGGCGACGGCGTCGGACTCGCTCATCCGCGTCATCGACGAAAAGGACGACGACGACGACGACGACCGCTCGGTGGCCTCCTTCGCGGCGTTCGACGCCGCGGGCAAGGACGACTTCAGCGACGCGAGGTCGCCGAACGGGTTCGCTCCCGGCGGGGTGGACTTCTTTCCGCCGCCGCCCTTCGCGCCGGCGAAGACGCGAACGACGCGACGCATCGTCGTCGTCGTCGTCGTCGACATCGCGGAGGAGGAAGAGGAGGACGACGACGACGACGACGCCGTTCGTCTCGGAGGCGCGCCGCGCGCGTCGCGCCATCCCACGCGCGCGCTCGCGCGCGCGCGCGGCGCGCACGTCCCGGACGCGATCGCGATCGACATCGCGACCGCGGACGGCGTTCTCGACCGCGCCGAGGCGCGCGTCGCTCTGCGGCGTCGCGGCCCGCTCTCCACGACACGAAGAAGGTCAGGTCGTCGCGGAAAATCTGGAGACTCTTCGCCCCGAACAGAATTCTGTTCCCGAGAGCATTTACCCCCGCGCCCTCTCCCGCATCCCACACGCCATGGCAGCTCCCAACACGGACTGGTGGGCGACGATCCAGTCCGCGGCGTACACCGCCGCGGAGACGACGCGCTTACTCTCCCTGCGCACCGCGAAGCAGGCGGAGGTCATGTACCACGAGCGTCAGATTCAATTGACGAAGGAATCGTTCGGGAAGGACGTCTTCCAGCACATGGAGGCGAACAACGCGGCGACGGTGCAGCAGATGTTCGCGGACGCGAAGAGCGCGATCGACGGGATCAAGGCCACGATCGCGAAGTGCAACGAGGACATCGAAGAGCTCACGAAGCAGATGGCCGCGGTGGGGTCGTGACGACGAGGACATTAATGTATTTTACCCCTTTGAATCGACGATGGACGAACTGGAACGGACGACGCGTCGGAACGGCGCCGAGGAGACGCGACGGAGCGTCGACGAGAAGGAAAGCGACGTGACCGACCCCGCGCCACGCGTGGGATAGCTCAAGATAGACGAAATAGGTGCAATAGCCGCGTATGATAGTAGGTTGAACTGAATCAAGCGATTGGTCGGACAAGACGCCGAAATTCTCATTCACATCAAGACGCAGTCGCTACCGCTCTTCTTCTTATACTTCCCGCTCTTGCTCTTCCCCGGCTTCGCGCCCTTCTGCGCATTGCCGCCGCCGCCGGCGGCAGCGGCGTCCTCCCTCTCCCGTTCCCGTCGCATCGTCCCGTCATGGCGATGACGCGCCTCTTCCGCGTCGCGTTCCCGCCGCTCCGCGCGCCGCCGCGCGTTCGCCTCAGCCTCCTCCGCCTCGAACTCCGCCTGAAGCGCCACGGCGAGCGCGTAGTCGCCGTCGCCGTCGGTTTGGGGCGCCGCGCCCGCGCCCGCGCGGTGGTGCTGTCCCACGGGCACGCCGACCGCGACGCCGCGCGCGTCCGGCGGCGGCGGCAATGCGCAGAAGGGCGCGAAGCCGGGGAAGAGCAAGAGCGGGAAGTATAAGAAGAAGAGCGGTAGCGACTGCGTCTTGATGTGAATGAGAATTTCGGCGTCTTGTCCGACCAATCGCTTGATTCAGTTCAACCTACTATCATACGCGGCTATTGCACCTATTTCGTCTATCTTGAG